TGAAAAAAAATTTCTTGGCAAGCTTTTGATTCCACCCTTTTAGCGGGCCATATGTGGGGTGGTAATGGAAAGAGAAGTTATATGACTTATTGTAAGACATTACTCAGAAAAACTAGAGGATATATATTTTGATAGCTAATCTGGATTAATGGTGCAGCCTGAGCCTTCAATTTCATTTACTATAAATGAATCCAGTGACTAAATTGTTGTTCACATAACTTTGCAAACCAAGCATTCAGTTTACTAGATTATCAGAGACTAATAACTCAGAGAAGAAACTGGCACACTTGGTGGGGTGGACATTTGTGGTGTGATCATTCAGTATCTAGCCATTCCCACTTCTCCTAGCCCTACTTTGCTTTACGGGGGACCCAGTGAAGCTGCCTCGAATCTGAGCCCTGGGGTTGTTATATGACCAGGATGGATCCATCTGCACACTGTATTCTATGTGTCTCAGTTATGGGTTCAAGGCAGCTCAAAATGGGCAGTGAGGCCTAGGACATGCAAAGCGGGGGCTTTGTTTAAGCTATTAGGAAATGACTTTTTTTGCTGGGCTTAAATGAAGAGATGATGAGACTAAAGTTGATTTGACCATCTCGAGATCAAGTGGAGTTCAGAAAAGAGCCAGAAGAAGCAGAGTCAAGACATGCACAGTGCGGTCAACTCCCACTCAAGAGGGTTCCTGAAACCCCCACAGTGATATCTGTGTTGGCTACCCCTCACTCCAAAGGAGGCTAAGAAATGCAGTCTTTTGGCTGGGGACATTATCACTTTGAATGAAATCATGGTGTGTTACTAAGTAAGAAGAAAAGAATGAGTACTGGTTAGGAAATTAGTGGCCTGATCTGTGGCCCACTTGGGTTACATTTTCCATGCTCAGCATAGAAAACAGGCAGCTATCTGACATCTATAAAGGAAGAATGATACATTTCAGAGTCTAAATTAGAGATCAAGTTAAAACACATGAGTCTTTGGTTTGTAAAATCTTTCATTAGGCAATAACCTAACTGTTATTTTGCAGTAGCTTCATTGAAAATTATTACTCAATTGAAAAATAATGTAACTACAATTAAAAATGCAGGATCTGCAACCACGTGCAGCATCCCAATTTTGTATATTCAACTTAGATACTGAAAAAACATTGTTAAAAAATCCTAATTTCTTCTTACATTATAGGGATAAATCAAGTTACATATTTATGAGCCCACTGTCTCCAGGCAAAAATTTTTCAGTTTCAAATTATACCTTAGACTTCTACAGGTTAGGTTAGAAATGATAACAAATGTAGGAATCTGAATTGACATTTAGTTCTCAGGGGATAGCTTTAAAAACTAGAGAATAATGGAAGTAGCTGCTTTTAAGAACTTTTTTCAGTAGTCACAAAGACACATCATACATTAGAGGATATAAAGAATGCCAAAATGAGATTCTCTCTGAAATTACTTAGTGTGGGATGAGAAAAGGAAGATAAACAAAAAACAATGGTTTGTTGGACCAAGAGAATTAAGTGGCAGGGGAGTCACAGAAATGGAGTATTAACAGACACTCTGCCTTTGGTCTTGAATTATGAAGGTAACAATAAATAACCTTTATAGATCATAGCCACACAACTTCAGAACTTAGAGGAAGCTTGAAAACAACCATATTCAACTCTTTCACTTTCCTGAGGAGAAAAACTTGGACCTAAAAAAACTGGGTCATCTTTCTAATGTTCCCCAACAAGTTCACATCAGAACCAGGATCAAAATATGGGTTTCCGAACTCATGGAGCTATAATATACTCTTTCCACTAACATCCATTCAGAAGTCATGGAATTGGTAAGTCAGTCTGCCAGATGTTACAATAATTTACCTCCACATTTATTGTGAAGTCATTCTAAAATTGTATTTTTAAAGGGAGAAGAAACTGGTTGTAATACTATGACATCTGCCAAGGGTGATTAATGAGGAAAAATATATGACATCTTGCCTCACTGAACTAAACCAGGTCTAGGGAATGTAGGCAGACAGAGGCCTCCCGATACAAAAGGAAGAGGCTGAGAGGTAGTCGGGGCTTAACAGCTGGTGGGAATTTTATTTTCTGTCGGAACTGACTTCTTTGTTACAGTCTGCTTCAACTGCTTCCCACCTACAGCTGAAGTTCCCCTGGAACACTAAGCAGCTCTCAGCTATGTAACCCTCACCATAAGTGCTCCAAAAAAGTTAAAAACTAGAGTAATCAACAAGTGATACAAAAACTAGGTCTTTTGAAGGTCTTTCTTCAAAGAAGCAAAAGATCAAGGATAATATTTCAGAGTGGGTTAGTTTGCATGTACTACAAATGACACAATGAGTCCTTCTTAATAATACATTTTTATCACTTGGCAGCTAGTAAATAGGAGAAATGCAGGGAATCCCCACTCAGCAGTTTCTATGGGTAAACCTAGAAAATGTAGACCTGGGATTTGGGACTAGGTAGAAACTCCAGAGCTGCTCTAATAAATTGAGTTCCTTCATTTTGCAGGGCAATATAGGAAAAAAGCTAATAATCTCTGCTAAATCAAATGTAATAAAGAGTAGTGTTCATGTTCAGCTGAAATATGTTTACAAACAAATTCAGCCAAAAAGCCTCATATGAAGTCTCTCAGTTATCCAGAGTCAGTCACTTTCATGAGGTTTGACCTAAATATTTTCCTTTTCTCAATTAAAATAACCTTTGTTGCTAGACTAACTGGCTAGCCATATGCAGAAGATTGAAACTGGACCCCTTTCTTACACCATATATAAAAATCAACTCAAGATGGGTTAGACTTAAATGTAAAACCCAAAACTATAAAAAACCCCTGGAAGACAACCTAGGCAATCCTCTTATGAACCTAGGAATGGGCAAAGATTTCATGATGAAGATGCCAACGGCAATCACAACAAAAGCAAAAATTGACAAACGGGATCTAATTAAACTTAAGAGTTTCTGCATAGCAAAAGAAACCATCAATCAACAGAGTAAACAGACAACCTAAAGATTGGGAGGAAATACTTGCAAACTATGCATCTGACAAAGGTCTAGTAACCGGCATCTATATGAAACTTAAACAAATTTTCAAGAAAAAAACTAACAGCCCCATCAAAAATGGGCAAAGGACATGAATAGACACTTTTCAAAAGGAGACATGCATGCCAACAAGCATATGAAAAAAAGCTTAATATCACTGATCATTAACAAAATGTAAATCAAAACCACAGTGAGATACCATCTCACATCAGTTAGAATGGCTATTATTAAAAGTCAAAAAATAACAGATGCTGGCAAGGTTTCAGAGAAAAAGAACACTTATACACAGTTGGTGGAAGTGTAAATTAGTTCAACCATTGTGGAAAGCAGTGTGACAATTCCTCAAAGAGCTAAAAATAGAAATACCATTCAACCCAGCAATCCTCTTACAGGATATATACTCAAAGGAATATAAAGGCACATGCACACAAATGTTCATTGCAGCATTATTCACAATAGCAAAGACATGGAATCACCCTAAATGCCCATCAATGACAGATTAGATAAAGAAAATGTGGTACATATACACCATGGAATAATATGCAGCCATAAAAAAGAACAGTCGTGTCTTTTGTGCAAATGTGGATGGAGCGGGAGGCCATTATCTTTAGCTAACTAACACAGGAAAAGAAAACAAAATATTGCATTTTGTCATTTACAAGTGGGAGCTAAATGATAAGAAGTCATGGACACAGAGAACAACAGACATTGGGGCCTAATGGAGTGTAGAGGGTGGAAGAAGGGAGAGGATCAGAAGAAATAACTAATGAGTACTAGGCTTAGTACCTGGAAGATGATGTAATCTGTAAAACAAACCCCTGTGACATGAGTTTACCTATATAACAAACCTACACATGTACTCTCAAATCTAAAACAAAAGCTTTTTTAAAAAGATAACCTTTATTGTTTCTTTCCTGCTTATTATGAAAGCCTTATATGTTCAAAGTAGGAAAATTAAAAGACATAGGTAAAATAGAAGAATGCCCCAAATCTTAGCACCCAGAGAACCGCTTTAAAAACTCTTAAATACATTTCCAGAATATTTTCTAAGAATATATACATACATTAACCAAAATATGGTCACATTTCATGCTTGCCTTTTGTTAGCATTTTATTTCTTAACAATGTATCATAAACATCTTTTCATTATCAGTATTTATCTACAACAGTACCTATTGTGGCTGAACAGTATATCATTGTATGACTGTGACATCATATATAGAATAAACTTATTGATGAATGGCAAGGATATTGTTCTTATCCAGAAAGGAGGAAAAACATAATTCATTATAATCACAAACTCTGGTTGGAAGAGCCCCCAAACAGGGTGACCCTGGGTATGCAATATCAGTCCTAGAAAACACCAGGGACATATTTATTCTATATATGATGTCACAGTCATACAATGAAATACTGTATGTAATTGTTAAACATTTAAGGAATTTTCTGTTTATCATATAACAAACAATGATGTAATGAACATCTTTGTGGCTGAAACCTTTCCACATATCATTAATTATTTCCTTAGCACAAATTCCTAGAAAAATACAGTGAATATATTTTAAAGGATTAGAAACAAACATAGTAACAAACTGCCCTCTAGAAAGAGCATCATATATGTTAATTTACTTGAGTTACTTGCCTATCAAGTGCTATGATCAGTTTAGTACTACACGAAGAGAAGTTAAATAGACACCTTTGGGTTGGTGAAGTATGATAGATGTGCTTGTATCCATGATTCTGATGAACGTTAACTTACAAATACCTTAATCAATTAGGTGATTTTATACTAATATTCCCTGTTTATATACTTCCAGCCAAGACTGACATACATTCCATTTTGGCTCTTTCTTTGGGACCTGATGCCTTTTCTCCCTCTCCTGTGTTAAGTAATCTTCTTATACACTTATCAATATTCTTTAAAACATTCTAAATGGTCAGTCCCTGAAAATATTATCATAGTGCTCTGATTACATGCATCAGCTAGAAAATCTTCATCCAAGTTATTCTCCCAATTAGATGCCAGATGAGTTTGGAGTCTGACATTTTAGTGAAATGACAAAAAAAATTACATCTGAAGTTAAGGCAATATCAACAAGTACCTGTAAGACTAAAGAGAGAAAGTAGAAAGTGTTGTCAGACCACACATTTTCTTTGAAATTTTTTATTTATTCATTTATATTCCACCTGATTCCAAAAAGGACTTACAGCAGCTTTTCCTTTTAGACATGTTTTCTAAATTCGACATTTCTGCCTCATTGAGACTGCCAACTTCTTTTCTAACATAAGGATATTCTTCTATCATAACCACTTGCTCTATTTGGAGATTGAATGGCAAGGATATTGTTCTTATCCAGAAAGGAGGAAAAACATAACTCATTATAATCACAAACTCCACTTGGAAAAGCCCCAAAACAGGGTGACCCTGGGTATGCAATACCAGTCCCAGAAAACACCAGGAAAAAAACTCAAATTTCTAGGGTGTATAAAAGCTCCAAAGAATCACAAAAAGTCAGGCCTTTGGCTCTCCACTTCCCTTGTGGGACTGTAAGAGCTCAGATCCCCGACAGCCTGACTCATGTGAACATAATGGGAAACGAAGGTGTTAGACCCACAGACACAGAGAAGCTGCATAGCAGAAAGGCAGGCCCAGCATCAAACGGAGGAGGAAGGCTTCACTCCCCTGTAAAGCGGCTGCAAGAGAACAACCAGTCTCCTGTTAGGCTTGTCTTTCTCCGCATTCTCTTCTGTTTTCTTTCCAGGTCCTCTTCCAATCCCACCCAGCTGACCCTTCTGCAGCTCTGGTCCCCTGTCCTACATTTTGAAGCACAGTCATTTTAGTCTGTGGCCCTCCTAAATCTTCATCTTTGGACTTGTTTTCCACCTCTCTTCCACTGGCCTACACCTTGCTCAATATCTCTTCTGTTTCAGGGCCCTGTGCTGGCAGTACAAGACATGGTCCCAGATCCAGTATTACACACTGAGTGACAGTCAGTGATAAGTCCATGGTATATGGTGAATAGACACTGGAAAGAAAACTTATTTACCATGACTGTATATTCTTTCCACTGACTATTCACTGGACATAAGTTTTCTTTGCAGTGTCTACTCACCATATACCATGGACTTATCACTGAATAGATAGTCCACGGTATATGGTGATGAATAGACACTGGAAAGAAAACTTTCCAGTGAATAGTCAGTGATAAGTCCATGGTATATGGCGAATAGACACTGGAAAGAAAATGTACTTTGCATGATTTAGAAAAAAAAGGGAGGGAGTGTCAAGTGCCACATTAAAGGGGGATTATAGTAAAAGGGAAACAATGATATTGAACTTAATTGGCATATTAAATACGTTATAGTTAATTTTGCTTATCCTCTAAATGCTTCCAAATGCCACCATTTTGGAGAAAAAGGATCAGTTTCATTGTGAAACCTGAGGTTTTCTGTGGTTTCAGAACAGGCTTAAGAAAAACAGCTTTTTCTCTGAACCAGCAGTATATCCAAGCAGCAAAGGACAAACTCACCAGTAAGACTCACCTAACAGAAAATATCATATCAACATTTCCCCCAGACTGTTATGCTTTAGCATGTCACAATTTAGTGTATCCTCCCAAATAATTATTTGATCCTTACAATTTAGTAAGGTAAGTGTTGCTATTCCCATTTCAGAGATGAGGAAACTTAGGTTCTCGAGGTTCTATGATGCACTTGAGTCACTGAGTTTAGCTCAGCGGTTAAGAACATAGGTGCTGAAGCCAGACTGCCTAAGTTCAAATCTAGGCCCTGCCCAGGATTAATCATGTGACCTTGGGGAAGTTACTCAACTTTACTGTGCCTGTGTCTACATCTAAAACACAGATAAATGATATACTACCCACTTTGCAGGGCTGTTGGGATCATGCATTAAAGTAGTCTTAGAATTAAGAAGTCGGGGCCAGGGGCAGTGGGTCACGCCTGTAATCCCAGCACTTTGGGAGGCTGAGGTAGGTGGATCACAAAGTCAGGAGATGGAGACTATTCTGGCTACCACGGTGAAACCCCGTCTCTACTAAAAACACAAAAAATTAGCCAGGTGGGATGGCATGTGCCTGTGGTTCCAGCTACTCAGGAGGCAGAGGCAGGAGGATCGTTTGAACCCAGAAGGCAGAGTTTGTGGTGAGCTGAGATTGCACCACTGCACTCCAGCCTGGGCAACAGAGTGGGACTCTATCTCAAAAAAAAAAAAAAAAGAATTAAGAAGTCAGTCTCTGTAATCCCAGCACTTTGGGAGGCTGAGGTGGGAGGATCACATGGTCAGGAGTTCAAGACTAGCCTGGTCAATATGGTGAAACCCTGTCCCTACTAAAAGTACAATATTAGCCGGGCGTGGTGGCACGCACCTGTAGTCCCAGCTGCTCAGGAGGCTGAGGCAGAAGAATCATTTGAACCCAGGAGGCGGAGGTTGCAGTGAGCCAAGATCTCCCCACTGTGCTCCAGCCTGGGCGACAGAGTGAGGCTCTGTCTCAAAAAAAAAATTAAAAAAAAAAGTCCGTCTGCCAGTGACACATAGGTGCACATACAGAGTAAGCACTTAAGAAATGTTAGCAAGGCTGAATTCCCAGAACTAAGTATTTTAAGGCCACCAGAGCTATCCTTATCTTTAACAGTTACATTGCCTCTGTGATTCATAATTTTATCAGCAGAGAAATTAGCTGACTATTTCTTACAAAAGGAAAATACATGATAAAAGGAAACCTTGAATTGGATAAAATGGCTCGAAAAGGAAGAGCAAGGGTAAAAGTTCAAGTGTGACTTCTGAGAAGAACCCCATTTATTTTTGTTTCTAGAAAAATACTGTACATGATTTAGGTATTTGCAGTCATTTTTCCAGCACAATGAAAGGTCAAGCTAAATGGAAGTAATATTTGTGTAACCCATGGTGACTGTCAGGGAGTCTGTTTCCCATGACCAGGTCCTCGATCCAGACAATGCAGCGCTTCTCTGGAGGACCACTCTGAGCAGAAAGGGCTGTGCCTCCCCACCTCCCACTGCACCTCCTCCATGTGAGTGGTCTGAAAGAGCAGAGAACAAAGATGCAGCTGGCAACACGAGTGCTATGGAAAAGAGCAATTTCATCCAGGGAAGAGGGCAGTGGAAAATCAGCAGAGGAATATTACCAGGCATACTTCCTTGTTTCTGGTTTCTTGTAGCATCAAGGGCAAAAAAAGACGCTGAAGTACAGAGAATATGTTGTTGGGGGAACAGGAAGGAATAGAGAGATCCAGCATGACACAGGATTTGCAGAAAAAAACTGCTGGTGGCCAAAAAAAAACTACAAAACACATACCAGCCACAAGAAGACACCAAAGCAGCAAGAGTAAAGAGTGCAGGGCAGAGAAACTCTGCAAGCACAGCATATGTCAGAGGAGCATAACAGAGGCCACCCAATACTAAGGATGAACAATTGCTTAGTCCTTTTCTAGTGCACAGGAGAACCTGGGGAGATGCCACAGTGGGGCTCGTAGATTGCAGATGTCATGTGCGTCGAGGTTTCTTTCTATATATGACACTTCCAGCTAAGGCATCAAGTGAAGAATCATGTGCAGGAACAAGTGTCATCTGAAGGGTTGAAGAGTCAAGTGCAGTGTGAACAATCCCATCTAAGGAACTCAGGGCACCCCTGACACAAGGGTTGCATGTGAGAAAGGAAATCTCACTCTAAACAGGAACATAATCAGCATTTAAACAAAAAATTATGGACTGTCATTCAACCCAGAAGTTCTTCATGCCACAAACCTAAAAACAACAGTAACATAATTGCATTTGTCTTGCACTTTAAACTTTGTAAAAAAATTTTTATAAACATGATCTTCTGGCCCACATAGATGTTTTTTGCTTGCCTCACAAGACGTGTTCTTTGTTATTATTTCTGAAAGTCCCTAAGAATTGACTTTATGTTATTGCAAGCATGTTTTTAAATTTATAAATACACACATTGAATTTATCTATGGATACTATACATAAAAAGCAAATGGTGGGTTTTAGGTACTGAATCTATTCTAAAATATCTACTTATTTTCTAGAGTGACTAATTAAACATAATTTATGTTAACTAAACCAGGTGTAAACATTTCAATACTCTGCATAGACCATTAAACACATCTCATTAAGAAGTTCCTATATTTTCAAACCTTCAGACATTCTAAGGGGGTATTATAGATGAATAATTATTTTCAAAAGGAATGTTTTAAAGGATATCCCTTAAGGGTCTTTAAAAACAGGTCTTAAAAGCATAAACAGGAAACATGCTATAGGGTTATAAAGAATAGTGGAATAAAAATGATTGTGGCCTACTTCCATAAAGAAGCATAAAAAAAAGAAAGAAAAAATCTAAAATTAATTCCAGCTTGCTGAGTTAAAATGAACTGTTATTTCATGAGGCAAGTGTCTTATTTACTCTTTGCCCTATATACAATAATAACATGTGTTGTTGAGAGTCAACAGTTCACATTAGCATTTTTTAATTTAGGAAAAAGGGGAAATTGTAAACTCTAAGGAACAGCTTTCTGGCTGACATCGTTCAGCATGCCTGGAGGATGATGTGTACTTTGTACCCAAATCTTTATTAATCCTTCTGTCCTTGAGATACAAAGATAACACTTCTGACCCACAGTCAGCAGCGCATTAGCTTTGAGGTTCTTAAACTCTTTCTTTCAGCTTGATGAGAAATTTGTGCTGATCCACCCTCTTTTGGTCATCTGGTTTCCTTTGTGACTGACAGTGCACATTTGGGAGACAGCTGCCTGGCTTTGAGAGAGAAGTGTAGCTTGGAGAAGAAGGGAAGTAAAGTGGAGAGGTAACCCTTGGCCTTGGCACTGGTGCTAACCAACTGATGTGTGAAATACAAAATTCTATAAAGTAGAAACTGACATTGTTAGCATGGTAAGAACTCAGCAAAACTATCTGCCTTAAGAAAAGTTGTGATAAGATGAATCTTTTCATTGTACATACCAACTACTGGAGTAAATTAAGTCTTTGGGAAGTTTGTACCAACTCCTTCTATACCCTGGGCTTTCGGGTTGGTCCATGCTTTGGTTTCTCCAAGCCCTTGGTCTACATCACAGCACTTGCCTTGTTCAGGTTTTTTGCATTTTCCAGCTCTCATCATTTGCTATAACTATTGGAATTATTCACTGATCACATGTTTCTTCATTGTCTGGCCCTACTACTACAATATAAACTCTCTATATTAGAAGATCTCAATCTACTAAAATTAGCTACTGGTTTCTTGATTAAAGTTAATCTGGGGCTGGGCACAGTGGCTCACACCTAGAATCCTAATACTTTGGGAGGCTAAGGTGGATGGATTGCTTGAGCCCAGGAGTTTGATATCAGCCCGGGCAACATGGTGAAACCCCGTTTCTACAAAAAATACAAAAATTAGCCAGCAGTGGTGGCACATATCTGTATTCCCAGCTACTCTGGAGGCTAAGGTTGGAGGATCACTTGAACCCAGGAGGTTGAGGCTGCAGTGAGCCTTGACTGGGCCAATGTACTTTGGCCTAAGCAACACAGTGAGATCCTGTCTCAAAAAACAACAAAAAAGGTCAATTTGTTCCAGAGTATACCTGGCTTAACACATTAATTAATACATTAATCACCAATATATAGATCTGTATGAGTATATATGTTCATTCAACAAATACTAACTGAATATGCCTTATGTATTAGGCAATGGACACAGAACAGGGAATACTGGTGAACAAAGCAGAACCTACACAGCTGGCAGTCTATTATGGGGCTAGCTGAATATCTTACGTAATATCTTGCTAAATCTTTGAGCAGAATATAGAGAAAGAAAAAGAAGAGAAGCCATCAGCTTGTGCATCAGGGAGCAAGCAAGCTCTTAGAGAACAAAGCCACATCTCTCCCACTTTTTAAATTTCATCTCCCTGGCTCTCCACTGCTCTAGGCGAGCCATGCATGCCTCTCGACTGACTGTCAAAGCCTTCTTCAAGTTCACTTTTCAGAAAGTTTTGCAAACATCTTATAAACAACTTTGCTATCCCAGAAAATGAGCAGGTACTCCTTTGAAAGAAAAGGAAAATTCCTTTGAGACTTTTTCTCTCAGTAGCAAGGAATGCAATTAGGCCTATACTTGGCATTCTGTCAGTTTCCATAGCCAAGAAATCTCAGGGTTAGGAGAACAAAGCTACCAAGATGCTTTTGCTATTGACTATGGCTGGCCCAAAGTTCCAGGGTTAAAGCCTGAGAATGTTTTATCCCTTTAATTTCCCACATAACTAACTTCCAAATACCAAAGCTTAGAGGACCCAGAATGCAAAATCCTTTCCATTACTTTATTAAAAATATTTGTATGCTGTGATTTACTGCTAATGCTGGTCTTTCAAAGCATTAGTCAGGACACCTGCAAACCTTCCTGCAATGGCTGCCCATAAAAGTTTAACATTTCATGGGTTTGCACTTAAAATCTGACAAATAATAAATCAATCTTGTAAACAGTGTGAGTCGCTGAGTTGATAATATATTGAGAGTTGGTTAAAAAGATGAACTATAGATCACATTATAATACACCACTGTGGAAAACCATGGCTAAGTAAACTAATGATCGTTATTCCCATATCTGTCTCTTCAGCGGTCTGCTTTCTCTAAGAAAGAAATTTTCTTTCAACAGAAAGAAATTTTGCTAAGTATGAACAATATGAAATTTGGCTGTTTCATATGTATATGTGCTTGAAAAACAAGGAATCAACACTCTTCACAGCTTTATAATGAATGATCCAAAGGTGACAATATACTAACATTTAGAACTTGTCAGGGGCAATACTAAAAGCAATGTTTAACTTGTTTTGGGAGTTATTCATCAATTTTTCAGACATATGAACATTTAAATTATTTCCATCCTTGAAATATTTTAAGGAATTGCAAAAGCCCTGGTAGGACAAATGCTATGTATTGGATACACATCTGGTATGAGGAACAGCAGTACACAACATTTTAGAAATGGCTATGGCACAATCGAATACATTTTAA